AATAGATCACGATCGGATCAGATTGGAATTTAGAAACGTGTAATTGCTACGTTGTGAAATTGAATTAAGTTACAGCTGGACCTTTGTAACAGACATATATGGAAAAAAGACAAACAACACAATTCTATTGATGACCGAAACATTTATTAAGTCAATAAAATAAAATAAGTACTCGTTTTTGAAGAGTAACGCGTTATAATTCATTGAAGGTGCATATATGGTTTTTTCACTCGCTTCTAGTCTTGATTAGAAATGCATCAAAGCTATGTTAATCCTTATTTTAGTGAACTTTTAATTGATTTCATTACTCATGGTAAGGATGTTAGTTTGACTTTGAGTATCGTTTCAATCTCATCCACAGCCACCGTCCTGATTTTGGCAAGGAGGCGTATTATCACAGTTCCTTTTTGGGCCGAAATTTAGTGCTCACATAATTATTAAAAGTGAAAATACTGAAGAACTGTAAAACTACTTAGTTACTATAGTCTTTAATGAGGATCTTTGTGGCTCTTGTCTTCATTCGACAGGGAGAATCGTCAAAACTTATATTTAGAACTGACATTATTTATTTTCTTCGATAGAATATTTGAATTCCACAAAATCCTTCTCCTAATATTCTGATTATTGAGAAAAAAATCTTTTGATTTCTAAAATGTGTATATGGTAAGTTTGAGATTGAAAAAATTTCAAAACGTCCCTATTGTTACATAACTAATAGAAGCCAATTGTTGAATCTCACTGTTGATTACTTTTTCGACCTTTCTTTGTAAGTAAAACTTCCCTCAAATATATGACCTTCCTGGAGAAGCAATGTATTAAACGTAATTGTGCCGATATTGATGGCACGCTTCGATGATTCTTCTCTCTTCTCTTTCTGCTCTCTTTCCATTGTTCTAATATATATATATCTCCTGTCTCTCCTATCTCTCTCCTATATATACGCATATTATGTATGAAGTTTTTACACTTTGGATATGTGACGAAGCGAATAAAAATCATCGCCGAGAGTGGCGGTAAGCTACTCCACCTCAATCCAGTTAGTCTTAACGTATCAACTCCAAAACGGTCGTATTCATAGTTACAGTATTAAAACACTTAATTTGAATAAAATTAATGTTTTTGAAAAATTTCAACTTTAGCCAGTATAGTTACATAAAAGTAGGATTTCATTTTAGGGTTTCGACTTGAAGATATTAACGGCTGAGATCAGCACTTTTTCTGGATTCTTAAAACTTAAAAAAACTCGTTCAAAAACCTTTCGTTGTCTCAGAATTTTGTGCGTTTAACATGGATTAAAATTCAAACATCTTCTGTGGCAATGAAGTGGAAGGAGTGAAGTTTAGTCTTTTTCTATTTTGTCTCTAAAATGAGTAGACAAGCATTGATTAAAAAATCTTGCGACTATTTTGTTTCATTATCTCTAGACCAGAGATGCGCATTTACAACTATTTCCTAAAGCGGCCGTCGGCATTTCTCAGTATGTTTAGAAACTTTGCCTATGAGTCATTGCTCTTGTCATCAGAAATCAGTCCTCTTGTCTTTGAGATATAACTATGGGGGAAACATTGTACTTTGAGTAATCAAAGTACAAAAGTACATCAAAGTATCCCGAACTACTTGGAAGTACCTCGAAGCACTTCAAAGGGTGTGCGTCGGTGTGGGTCCGGGTCTACACTGTAAAAAAAATCCGCAGAATAGTAAACGAAAAAACAGTTTTTGATAGGATATTTAACAAAAAAAGGGTTTATGAAAGTGCAACGTATCATAAACCCTTTTTTCGTATATGACGAAGATAATAAACGGTTTTTAGGTTTATGATTTAGAAAAAAGGTTGAGACGTGGCCAAGTTCCCAGGAGTCGGGAACACTTCGGCAATTGGGAACTCAAAAATAAATAGGCGACAACGAGCGATGTGAAACCAAAAGACGTGAAGCATCTCAGGGAAATCAAGGAAATCAGGGATTCCAAGGAACTCAGGAAAGTCTTGGAAGCCAGGGAATCCACGATACAGTGTAAGTATATGCATGATGGAAGGTAGTAGAAGACACCCACACCCATTTACGAGAAAGAGGAAGACAACAATTGTGACTACATGTTTTCATTTAGTGTCAGGTGTGTTACTCCATCCTTGTTTCGCTCCTTTTACGATCGAACTTCGCATGTTTCAAGTGCTTGAAACGGATGGCAATGTCAACGGTTATCCTAAACATAGATAGCTACATATTTTATCTTTCTCGCTCAGAAAAAGGCATGTTAAAACTAATTTTAAGGAGAATAGCGTCTATTTCAATCCCACCTAATTCAAAAATTACAGAAATGCCAAATCCAGGCGCTCAAAACGGTTTTCTTTTAAAACATATTGGATAGAGCAAAAAGACGGGACGAACTTATTACTTAATTCAAGGATAAAAAGGTTTTAATCAGAAAAATTAAGCAAAATCAAAAATATGAGGTACTACTAATTGATTTTTCAATGTCAGATAGACAAAAAAATGAGTGAGTGAAGAATGTTGCTTCGTGTCCTGTCCCATTCTCTTCTTATTTCTTCTTAAGTAGTTATGTTTTGTAATGGGCATAGTTTTGCTAAATGAAAACATAGATTTTTACAGCAGCTAAGTTTATTTTAATTATTTTTCTTGCATTTATTTATAACTATAAGGTCTTGCCGACGTTTCGATATATATAATATCATTATCAAAACAGGTGGAATTACATTTTTCTGAGAAAAGAGAAGTATATATATATATATGTGTTACATGCGCCATTAGTAAGACCTATATACACTTCTCTTTTTCTCAGAAAAATGTAATTCCACCTGTTTTGATAATGATATTATATTTATCGAAACGTCGGCAAGACCTTATAGCTATAAATAAATGCAAGAAGAAAAAAATAAACTTAGCTGCTGTAAAAATCTATTTTTTCATTTAGCAAAACTATGCCCATTGCACAACATTATTACTTAAAAATATTAAGACAGCAATATGGGTCCTATATTACAAACAATGTTTTCTATTCCGGAAAAACATTGTTCAAAATTTCTAAAATAAAATGCGACTTATCATTCTTAAAAACCTGCAAAAGAGAAAAAGTATTCCCCACATTCGTGCAGTTCAAAGTACCTTCAACACATTTAAGTCACCAAAGAGCTATACAAAATTGTTTTCGTGAGATCTTGATTCATGAGATCAAGGTTAAACAGCGACAATTAACTTAATTTTATAGATTATATAACAACTTAAAATCATTGCTAGAATCTGATTTACATAAAAACATTAGTGATGAAATATCAATAATAATTAATGAGATTGATAGAGAATAGGTAACATCAGTGACAGAACGACATTTAATAAAATTAAATAAATTAAGAGAATTAAAGAATTTCTCTGGAAATATTAAACAGTTACCAGCTACAATCTCACCAATTAAGAATTATTCAAAAAGAGTCTTAACTCGTGATGAAATATTAGCATTAGAAAATGGTCTTGATTTCATCTTTCCATTATTTAAGTTCGATGATGAAACCTTTATAGCTAACATCGAGACTTTATTTGTAAATTTACTTGGTTATTGTTGGGAAAAAAACTGATTACGATGAATTAGATCTTGATGAGAGAATTTCCTACAATTTAACACCAGAACAACTGTGTCTAGCAACAAAATTATGTAAAGTTTGTGACACATTTAGACAACATGCAAGGAAATCAATATCACGTTATAAGAAAGAAATAGATCCAATAGTGAAAACCTTGAAGAATTTATCGAAAGATAAAACAATTTACATCACACGTCCAGACAATGGTTGAGCAGTAGTCATTCTAGAGAGATCAGATTATTTAATGAAAATGGAACAGATATTAAATGAACCGAAGACATTTAAACAACTAGATGAAGACCCTACTATTCAAAAGGGAGATAAACTGCAGAGGAAATTATTGCACCTAAAAAACATTGTTTTTTAACTGATAGTCAATATAAATACACGACCTGGAAAAACTTATGGACTTCCTAAGATCAACAAAGATGGTGTCCCTCTACGTCCCATTATTTCTGCATGTGACACTTTCAATTACAAATTATCTAAATTATTAGCAAATAAATTAAAACACTCACGAGCTAGTTCAACCATTGTAATTGATACATTTAAATTTGTGAAAGAATTGCAAAATTTAAAATTAAACGCCACCAACATAAAAATGGTGTCTTTTGATATTGTATCATTATTTACACGCGTTCCTCTCGCACGTACTATTGATCTTATTTTAGACAAGATGTATGGACCAACACATACTTGTTCTTTTTAGTGAACTTAAACGTGCGAGGGGTGGACAATATCCCCTAAAATCGAGAAATTGTTCCACTTTAAGCAGAAATCCTTTACCCTACGCAAAACTAAGCAGAAACGTTTCATTAACCCATACGACTGAGTGGATCTATATATTTAATCCAATATCATTTATATTATCAACAATAAAAACGAAAGATACACAAAGAGAAATCGAGAAATTGTATGAAGAAATCATTATTACTTTTCTCTTTTTAAGGTGAATTTTCATTAGAAATCGATATTTCGCAGTAGAAATGATTTATTCGTTGACAGAAATGAATGAACCATTTCCACCGACAACAGCAGAAACGAAAGATATGTAATGAGCAATCGATAAGGTATGTGGATATGGTTGGAGTGTGAATGAATGTTGTTTGGTAACTTAAGAATAGAAGAGTATTAAAAATATTGTAAACTTTTGGATAGTAATGTGGCTTAAGCAAAAGATTTATTTGTATCGTTGAATGCGTTGAGCATGATTTCTCTCATGAGAGGAGCATGGGAAGTATACGTAGTTTCAATTGTGAGGAACTGATTTGGAACGACTGATCATTTATTGTCGTATTTTTTTGTTTCATTCACCTGTAGGTGGTAGTACGAGCAGATATAGTAATGGAAAGATTTCGATTGATGTGATTACAATTATGCTGGAAGTATTGGAAATGTCAACCGATCATTGTTGCTGGTTGTTGATGCGTGCTGGCTGTTTTCGTTCCTTGCGATTTCGCTGCCGAATTTCTTTTTTCTCTTCTTTATTTACGAGTTCTTCCATTTTCTTCACTAAATTCTGTATGGTGTTCATATCAGCTACTTTGAATTTCTTTTTTTTTGACTGTTTTTGTTTCGATACTTGTTGTTTGACACCAATTTCCGTTTCTAGTTTCTTGTAATGAATTTTTTGGAGGGTTACTTTTTCTTCAAAATTCTTTCTCTTACTGTACATGACGTTTCATCAGTTGTTAAAGGAAAAGCTTTTTTTTGTTTCTGCTGTTCCTAAAAGTAGATTTTTATGTAAAATTTCTTATTTCAAACGAACTAACTTTATATTTAGAAACTTGTTCAGTATCAGCTGCATGTGCTAAACTGACAGTAGGTGTGAATGGAACGGATGAAGCCTTAAATTAGTCTGTAAGCATTGTTTAATCTTTCATACAACTTACGATGTTGAATGCATGCGTTGGACGAATACTCATTCGTTCGAGATTTTTATAGTGAAATAACAACAGTAAATAGATTGGCATCCTTCTCCAACCAAGACTGCTCAAAATATTTGCGTAGTTTTTTACCCAGGAAAATAATTGTTCGGCGGCTTGAGTGTTGATACCATTTAACACTAATGCAAAGAAAGAGAGATCATTTACTTAGCCGGATTTAAAGAGTTTACTTTCATTTTTATATGGATTCATATTTGCTCTGCACCATCGCCCCACGTGCCCTTTAAAATGGGTTCGATCTACACTAAATTTAGTCTCATACAATGATGTTGATGCAGATGTACGTTTGAGATCTTGACCATAGTGATTTCGAATAAATTCAACTAAGTGACACCCATCATCATAGACACCACATTTAGGAAAATTATAGTTAGATGCTAAAAATGAAAAAATAATGGAGTTAGTGATATATTGATGCTGTTTTCTATATCTGACTTTCACTATTTATTAGATGCATATATTTTCTAGTAAGAGTAATATTAAGCATGCGAAACAGAAATACGATAGGTTACTATTTATGTTGCCTTTTAGAAATGTATATGAATTGATACCTACTTTAAACATTCTTTCATCACAAATAAAATTATCTACATGTTTATCTAATGAAAATATTTAATTATATACTCACCACGAATTGTTGAACATAATAAACTTATGATTTCACGTAAAGTTTCTGATCGAAATATTTCTGAAAATGTGATGACAATTTTACAATTTGTTACACCAGCAAGTATACCAAATGATCTATTGCATCGTTTGATGTATGATTCGGAGCATTGCTTAATTGTGCGACAGTTTGTTGCACCGAATCCCTGTTGTCGATATCTACCCATTTTTATTTTTTTCATCATTTTTTGTTTTGTTTTTGTTTAGTCATTGGCTCTGCTGTAACATTTTTTTCATCTAACACTTGATGAAGCTCACAAAAACGTGATCCCAAACTTGGTGTTCGACAACAAACAACGGTTAGTGATTCAAATTCTTCCGTTGAAACTTGAACATTCTTAGCACGACAAACTCGCCGACGACATTTTTGGTGGCCATCAATAACAATGCATTGACTGAAATTTGATCCACAAGATTTAATCAAAGTCTTGTGATTGCTCCATAGATACACAAATAATGAAAGAAGGCGTGGATACTGATCCCACATCCATATACCGAATTCTCGAGCTGAACTTGGTATAGAAACTGATGATATATCCAATACAAAGGTCAAATTCGACTAGCTTATATTTGATAAATGCCATTGCTAGTCTTTTTCTCCACTCAACCTTTGTGTCTGTCAGGTTCGAATCGAATGCACCCAGATTTAGTCCATCAACAAATTTCTGCCACGAACTAGCTCTGCTGATCAGTTGACATGTGTAGTTTTCTATTAGTGCTCTCCCGAATGCATGTTGACCACCTAAATAAACTGTATCATATTTTTGTAAACTCTCCGTTGTAAATGTAATCATGTTGTTTTGAAGAAAAAAATTCGGATAAATATAAACAATAGGGTAAGTGCTGAAAAGACGTGTTGGTTTGCTGGCAGCAGGCAAAAAACACTTTCCCTGAAAATAATATCAATTATTATCTACTAGTAGCATCTTTCAAATGAATTATTTGGCTGACCTGGATGAGTTGCACCTTTTAGAGTGTATACTTGAACAGATAAGACATCTGCCATGTCAGCATTGAGCATATATAGACAAATAGGATACCTGGATTGGTATGGATTTAGATGTAATGATTGATCTAGTTGAGCAAGAGCCATATCAACAGTTATGGAAGGAAAAAGTTGAATTGAATCATGAGAATTAAAATATTTAATTATACGTTCAGTATCTGATTCTTTGTATTCAGCAGCAAAATTACGGCTTAAAATAGCAGTCATATTCTGGATTCGATTTGGGTCATACACTGACCAGCGCTGATTAAGTTGAATCAGAAAATGTAGTTCTTGAGGATGAAACATGTTATACGTTTCAATCAATAGTTCAATATCCTTTGAACGTGTTCGACCAATACTATGATTCATATTTAACATCTAAATATAAAAAACAATCTTATAAATTCTTCTTTAGATGTTTATTTAAACAGTAAGACTAAAACTTCTATAAATCAAAGCTTTAAAATGAGTCTTTTAGGGTATCCCAAAACATGTTCATTTCTTCGTCTGTCACAACGAATTCAACAAAATCTGGCTGATATGAGATTCCTATTGGCCAAATACAATTTAGATTGTTAAGTTGAATAGTAGTTTGCAACTGTGATGGAAGCAAGTTACTCTTGATGTTGCTGACTAATTTTTTTGATTGTTCATCAGACTTATTGGATTGAACCAAGACATTTCCTGGCAAATATTTTGGAAGAATATCATTCATATTTGATTGTTGTAAAATCGAATAAGATCTTTCGCAAGTCTGCATCTCAATTCGCATATTAAATTTAAACATGTTGCTTTTAAAACTTGATGAAACCAACAGATTATTTGATTTATTATCAATATCATCGTTTATAGAACCAAGTGACTGATCTGAAGGACTAGAGCATAAACCAGATGAGAGAGATATCAGTTCAAAACCCAAAGCATCGTCGAAGAACGATTGATTCGATGCAATTCGTTTTGTCAATGGTGATTCAGATTCGAACAGACAGCTATCGAGCGGACGCTTCTTAACCTAGTGTGAAATAATATAAACTATACATTTTTAATGAGTAACTGCGAAAAATTACTTGTTCATGTTCTATTGGAGAATCATCATCAGACGAATCACTTGGAAGTGATATACACATAGTCATGGCATCATGATCTATTGTATTATTTGATACTGGATCTTTATTGCTAAGATTATTGCTATGTATCGAATCACCTAAAAAACAGAAACAAGCAGATTTTCTTGAAAATCAAACAAATTTTTTCCATATAACCTCTATGATTTAGAAACTGAGTGCGTATATTATTTTCTGCTTCGTTCAACCAACGCTTCATTGCTTCACATTCATTCTCTTCCCATAAACTATCATTCTCCAAGAACTTATCAAGTAAAACATCATATTTGCTTTTCGGTGATTGTTCAGGCATTTTTTACGCAGTATTTCAAGTTAGATGTAATATGTTGGTTTTATATCTATAATTTAAAAGTTTCAATGAAACTTCATCTGCTGGTAGACAAAATCACACATAGATTTCTACAGAAATGGAATCAATGAATATCTAATGAGGATAATAGTTAATGAACTATGATGAAAAATTAAAAAAATCTAACAAAACATACTATAGGCAATAATTCATCTAGTATATTGACAAAAACAAATGTTGAAAAACATGAAATATCGGAATGAAAAAAAAAATGTTCAAACTAATTCACGAAGTATCATCATAAATGAGCAATCTATAACAACAAATTATTGAAAATAAGTGATGAAATATCCCGAAGAAAAAATAGTTTAATACCTGATGACAGCAAAATTTAATATGAAAAAATCATCGGCCTGAAGGTTTTGAACGTTTTCGATGTTGACTACGTAAGCGTTTAGCGATTGTTTCAGAGAAACTTTCACCTGAACATGCATATTCAAAAATTCATAGAAAGTTTTAACAAGAAGCTTACTTTCAACGAGTTCCTCTTCATATATTTCTTCATTATTAGTTGTTTTTCGTTTAATTTCAGAATTCTGGTTTACCTAAATGTAGATATGTTATATTTATTATGCCGTTAAAGATATTTTTAACGTTTTTTAAATGCGATTAGCTTAAATGAACACTAACCATTATCGTTTCATCGTGATTTATTTCGGGCTCTTCTTCCACTATTTCTTCATTGATGACGACTAATGCAGTAGCACTTGCGTTACTTGCATCATCAACTGAATGAAATAAATATATCTTATAAATCAAAGTATTAATAAAAGATTCAAACATACTTTCAGAAAGATGATCAAATAAGTTAGAGATATTTGATCTAGGATTTTTAATACTTTCTCCATCTAACGATGGATTGTTGGAATAATCATCTTCACTTGCTATCATGTTGCTTTGGCTATTGATTGGCGAATTGTCTTGTTCTGAATTGGAACATGTATGACCTGAAGTAAAAACTAAATGTATTATTATTCTATGCGGATACGAAAACTAATTGCCTTACTCAGATTATCGTTTCCATTGTCACGGGAAATTCGACGAGTCAATGATAAAAAATCAACTTTAAAGCTTTGATAATGTTCAAGTTGAAGTAATTCAATCACCTCCTGACTAATTACACCTGAACTATGAAATGCAATATTTTTACAAGCAGCCAGATAAGTACTCATGTTGAGTCTTTGATCATGAAAACTTGTTAAACGAACACTAAATGCTTCCTTTGATTCTTCATCTGCACATGGTACCATCTTAACATAAACAGGCACTTTGCTTTTGCGACAAATAAAACCATTATATATTGCAACAAGACAACCATCATCCACTAGAGGTTTTAAAAAACTTGCTTCTAAGATTGAACTAGCTTTCTTTAGCGAACTATTTGTATACAGACTACTTTTGATAAAAACCAACGACGGATGAAGCAATATCGAAACTTTGTAGTGGTTGATCTTTGTTAGCATATTCTTTTGTTTTCTTGTCAGTGCTAAATGAAGTGTGTTCTCGTTATTGACAAACATTGCACTTGCATTCTTGTGTTGAACTACTTCAATATTATCCGCAGGCGTAATATATCGCATTCTTCCTTTGATTGTGCGGGCATTTTGCATCAACCAATTGCTTTTATCTTCATTTTGTATCTTCATCAGAGCCATATACTGTGCAAGATTTTGAACAGTTACATCATGTGCTCTCTTGCACATATCAGTATCAATTACCAAACGTTGTTCTTTCCGTATAATTTGCCCATATTTCCGTTCAGCCACTTTGCTAGCCCGATGGAAAAAAGTTTCATCTGTTGTACTTGTACCAAATGTCACATATTCTTCGACATATTCTGCTGCTATATCAAAGGCTGCTTCAACTAAGGCACATAATCCAGCAATTCGATAGCAAGCTAAGGCGCATTTGTTTAACCTTGCCGAAACGTTGTCCTGGACACCTTCTTGGCTACCTAGCATTTCAAGAGTAAAAGTTAGATCTAAAGTTAATTAGTAATACCTAACTACATAATTTTCTCATAGCTACGGATGCAACGAGGCCTGCCATTTTCAGTACAAATTCGTATTAAAACCAGCTCACCTATAATTATTCGATCAGTGAATGGTCAGTCGGTTACAGGTTGCTAGAGGTTAGTGGTATAGCTATGCATGGAGAGTATTTTTGCTATTTTTAGAAGAACAAAACAATACCTGCAAAAATTAGCATTACGAAGACCCGGCTACGTTACGAAGCAATGGGAGACCGAAAAAATCTAGTACTTCTATTTCATTCCTCTACCTCGAAAACCTTTCATCAAACTTTATGGAATATCAGAGGTTTCAACAAAAACCTCACTCAGGTTTTAAAAGATTCAACATCAAAATTTAAAAAATCTAGTGCTTCCAATTTTATTCTTCGACCTCGAAAACCTTCGGACAAACTTTATGGAATATCAGAGGTTTCAACAAGTATCTAATGTGGAGCGATAATAATCATAGCCTATATTTTTTTCGGTCTCCCATTGCTTCGTAACGTAGCCGGGTCTTCGTAACGCTAATTTTTGCAGGTATCGTTTTGTTCTTCTAAAAATACCAAAAATACTCTCCATGCATAGCTATATCACTAACCTCTAGCAACCTGCAATCGACTGGCCATTCACTGATCGAATAATTATCTATAAAACTGGTAATGATCACTACTGCATCCCTAACCATATTTTTCTTATGTCTTAGTTCATGATATATATCAAAGTTCATGAGTTATAATTGTGAAACATACCAGCAACTCGAAAACTAAATGCTTGTTCAGCTAAAATATCTTTTCCTTCTTGTTCCAAATCCAAATATAGGTCATGGAAGAATCCGCACAATACTGCAAATTGTTCCAAAGTAGGAAACTGTGTCACGTCAATAGATTTGATACAATCTTCATTTGGAATTGGTTCGCCGTCTATCGGCCAAAGAATGAATCGTTCAAATAATGCATCGGCTGCCATGCATGCTGCTTGTCTGGCTAGTTCAGCTGCTAATAATTCACCTGTAGAAGCACCCTAAAAAAGTTTATATTAACAACATTTATTACGAATTAACTCTAGGTACGTACAAAAATATTAAGCTTTGAGCCGGCCACTTGAATTCTCTCATTTTTTAATATCCGTGTAAAGCTACTTGGTTTTTCGTGTAAAGCCATTAGAGTTGAACGAAAAGGATCGACTCTAGTTGGTGTTATATCAATTGGAGAAGGTAACGCCAATCCCAAGGATTTCAATGTTACATCTGCTTCATGTAAATGCATTGTGCGTGTACAACCCTTCAAATGACTTAAAACACCTGCTGCTGGTCCATCATTGAAAACCACTTTGTCAGGTGTGCCCTTCACCTTATGATGGTTCACTAGATTGCTTGCTGTTGTGATACAGGAATCACATTCGTCGGAAAGCATTGCTTCACTTGTTTTTTCTTTTGATGGTTCTTCTACAATGCATTCTCGAAAATATGGTACTGCAGCTTCAGCCATCGTTCCTGCAAGATCCAAAATATTAGACTTGCTATAACCTACAAAAGCAACAAAAAATAAATTTTCCTGGCAGAATTCCAATCTTGGTGATATATTTTTGATAAAATTTTGACGTATAAGGCAAAGCTACCCTAAAGCACTTTCTTTGGAAGTATCAGAAGCAGATTGTGATGGATCACTAATAGTTGCTTTTCCATAAAAATTGTTTTTACTAATCAAAGTTTAAAAAAATTAGATTCTATCGCAAAAAATGTAAAGCGTTTGAGAATTGCTATAGACTTTATCTTTAAAATACGGCATTGAAGCCAAGCCGCAAGTTTGTCGAGAATCCAATCAACCACTATCGCATCACAACTGTGTTCTTTCGCATCTATCATTTCTTACGACAGGCATTGATTTTAAGTGAAACCAAAAAAATTGAATTTATTCTTGTTACGACCGAAGTGTTCCCCTTCGATCGTAAGACGGAACAAACGAATAATGCACACTCCTTTCTAGTACAGTGGTTAATACGTCTGCCCGGAAAGCAGGAGGTGCATGGTTCGATTCCATGCGAAGGGGGATTATCCTTTTGTTCCGTTCTGTTGTCATACCATCACGTTGCTGTCTCGCTGATAACTGAGTATAATAATGTGAGCGAGAAGAAGACATAACAATTCTACAATCTACAGGTGGATCGCTTTATCTAACACCGCTATATGCACTAGATTTTACCTTGAAATTTTTAAACCTAGCAAGACCTATCATCAAAAGAAACACATATTTCAATATATATTGTCACAAATTATGGCTTCATTTAAAGGTATTTCAAACTCCCATCTAATGTTCGGTAAAAATGTAACAAAAAGCTATTTATAATATTTTTTTTCTATGGAAATATGCCGAATGACATATGCCGATTCCAAAACCCGAACGACACACCATTTCTGCAACAAATCTAGGCTATGGTGAATTCGCTTCAAACTATACTTTTTCATCATTTATTTTAAAAGCTATCAAGCGATACTAAAGCTCCATCGATAAGCACAATGATGGATTTACTGCGTAGTTCCAATATGATTTGAAGAGATTTTAAATTATACTAAAGTCTACATTGAACATGATAATGACAGGTGTTCAGATCGCGAAACATTGAACTGTTCGGAATATGCATTTTCGCTATCTACTGTTTGTGTTTTCAAACAATTTCAGTAGCATTGACTAGTTGCTTCTTCGCAACAAAACGATTGATCAATCATTCCTGTCTTAGTTTTGCATATTTTTTCTTCATAGGCAGTTTAGAAACAAGTGGAATTTAAGCATAAAGAAATCTTTTCATAAACAGTAGTCAGTGCTAGTTCAAGTGCTAGGAATGTCTCGTTAACGTTAAACTTGTGCCAAATCATACCGCTATTAACAAGAAAACAAACATTTTTGGAAAAGAAGAGAAGGCGTAACTAGATCGTGTATTCATATTGGAAGCGATCCTCAACGTCATTTCTACTATATCTTAATCGAAGAAGTTGTAGACTTTAGAATATTCTATTAAATTTCAATCATACTTAACTATGAAAACTTTAACAAAAATAAATATGAATGAACCTATGCTTTGAGGCTTATTTTAGTTATGACTTTTACTTATACCAACTTGTCCCCGAGTCTAATTGATTAGACGAGTGAAGTTTAAACTATCAGTACATTATGTTATTAAGTTGTTACCGTTAATGATCTGACTCAAAATAGTAAAATACTATTCACTATTTTTTCAGTACGACGCGAAATGTAAACAATCCCAAAAAGCGAACAGGGCAGGTATTTTTAAGTGGTACATAAAGTTCGGTAAAACGAAAAAATAACATTTATATATACCAGAACGGGCAACCAAAAGATTAAACTAATTGCATGGAACAAGAAAATGGGAAGTCCGATTCACATAAGTTGATCGACAAGTACTTGAAACACCATTAATAACAGCTAGAGTGATAGCATGGCTATCTACTTGATAATAAGAAGCCAAATGTCTACAATATGCCGCAACAGGAGCAGAAAACCACGTATCAGGCTGTATTTTAAAGTTTGCAGGCAACCTTAAACTTGTAACGAAATCGTTCCATAGGATTCATGTTTTACTGATTGGTAAGTTAAATCTAAGAAAAACATATATTCCTCAAAGTTGAATTATGATGCTTAAAAAATTATTGTATCAAAATAATAAAATATGATTACAACATCAGCTTGATAATCGACAACCTCTGATCAAAAACTTCGACCACCACTAAACAAACAATTTTCAATATGCGCATTCGAGAGAAATAAACATTGGAAACAACACATTCGCATGAACATTAAACACTGGAACTATTGCTAAAAACTGATGCTATATTTTTTCGTTTCTCCTTGTTGAACCATTTCTCTTTATAAATGAATGGTTTCTCCTTGAATTGATATATACTAAAGTCTAGCTAATGACAAAACATCTATACATTCCAGTATATTTTTGTTTTTTCATTTCTCCTTGGCATATATAATTTTGTGTGGGTTGATCCATTTCAGCGTAAACTGGAACAATTTCCCCATCGATTGGACCCATTGTCCACTGCTGAAACGTGCGGATTGGTGTAGTAAATGTCAACATAGATATGAATTAAAATGGTTATTAGATATATCAACAAAAGATTCCCATTTTATATTCAATGAGAAATTATATTGTCAAACGGAGAGTGTAGCAATGGGGAGCCCCTTGGGGTCCTTACTTGCTGACATTTATATTAATTATTTAGAATCTAAAGCTGATCTTTGACTGTCTGGGTAGAAGAAAATGGTGTGCTATATTGGAAGAGGTTTGTGGATGATTGTTTTGTATTGGTTAATGAAAATACTGATATTAACAAGTTATTAGATATTTTAAATAGTTTCGACGTTGATATACAATTTACAGTTGAAACTGAAAAGAATAATTCTATTTCTTTCTTAGATATACTTATAACTAGAACAAATATTGATGTTAATAAAACAGGTTTAAATATATTACCTATTGAAGTATTTTACTCATTTCTAACAATAACTAAAAAACACATGCCAATTATTAGAGTTGTTTAATATGAAATATAAAAATACGACATGAATATCAGATGAAATTCATTCGAATGTAAAAGATCATGGAATTGATAACGAACATATTCTTAAATTTACTAGTCAAATAATAGAAGAAATATTATTAAG